GCTGCTGCTGTTGATGGTGGCGATACTGCAGAGACAGATCCAGCAGAAGATGCAGTAGGAGCTGCTGCTGTTGCTGCTGCTGCTGCTGCAGTAGGAGCTGTTGGGCTGTCATAAGGTGTCTCCTTTGCTGCAGCAGTGCTGTCTTCTGCCTCATCAGCAAATGCTGTATTAAGGAAAATACGGTAAGGATTGCTGCTGCTGTTGCTGCTGCCGCTGCTGCTGCTGCTGTTGCTGCTGCTGTTGCTGCTGCTGCTGGTTTGGACAGCTAGAATTTGAGGGAAGAGACAGTTAGGGAGGGAGAAGAGGGGAGACGATTTCTCTTTATGGGGATCGTCTTGGGATCGTCTCCTCCTCCCTGGAGGTGTGGGGTAGGGACGGAGACGATCCCAAGACGATCCCCATACAGACATCTGTGCTCTATAACTTGTATCATGTAAGTCCCATAACTCACATACAGGGTGAGACAGAAGACCTGCAGCAGCAGCAGCAGCAACAGCAGCAGCAGCAGCAGCAGCAGCAGTAGGATCATTATGAGAGACAAGTCATGCAGCAGCAAGAGACGCAGCAGCAGCAGCAGCAGCAACAGAGGAGAAGACAGAGGATGCGTAGGAGACTCGTATAAAGTGTAGAAAGAAGCAGCAGCAGCAACAACAGCAGCATTAGCAGCAGCATTAGCAGCAGCAGCAGCAACAGTAGCAGCAGGAGTACCTGTTGCTTCTCTTAATCTTTGTGAATGTTGTCTCTCTCCTATAAGACAAATAGATCTACCATTAGGGGTAAAAAAAAGAGAAGAATAAAATGTTAATTCTTCTATAGAAGGAAATGATAATAAAGGCTCACAAGGATTCATAGATATAGGTAATGATAGTATCTGTACACAAACCCTAAACCCTAAACCCTAAACCCTAAACCCTAAACCCTAAACCCTAAACACTAAACACTAAATAGTAAATCCTAAGCATCTCAACCATAAACCATCACAACATCTAAATCGTAAGTAATCCCCATGAATGATCATTTAAACCCTAAACCCTAATCCCTAAACCCTAAACCCTAAACCCTAAACCCTAAGTCTTACCGCTACATCTCCTCCTAGTGTTGCTGCAGCAAGACAGGATTCATCAGGAGAGACAGCAACAGCAGAGATACCATCCTCAAATCGTAAAGAAGATAAGACACCATTTTTGCTGCTGCTGCTGCTGCTGCTGCTGCTCCCCCCACCCCACCACCAGGCGCTGGGATCGGTGGGATCGATGGGATCGAGTCGATCCCGAGGGGGGAGACGAAGATCCCAAAAATTTATAAAAGATTCAGATGACGAAGCAGACATACACACTGAATACACACAACAGCAGCAACAGCAACAGCAGCAGCAACAGGGGGGGATGAGTTACTACTGGCCTCACGCGCAGCAACAGTAGCAGCAATAGCAGCAGAAACAGGAGAATGAGCAGCAGCATGACCCAGAGCAACAACAGCAACAGTAGCACCACCAACAAAGAGCAGCAGCAGGAGCAACAACAACAACAACAAGACCATCACCAGCAGCTGCAACAACAGCAGCAGCAGCAGCAGCAGCACGAGGTACCATAAGGTCCTATAGATTGTAGAGAATTAACGGGTCCCTTTTGTGCCCTCCATTGATTTATTTGTTTCCCTATTCGCGGATCAAAGAGATGAATGCTGCCGTTGCTGCTGCCAGCAGCAACTATACCTTGAGCAGCAAACCAGGCTAAGCTGCTGCTGCTGCTGCTGCTGCTGCTGCTGCACTTGTTGTTGGTGGTAGAGGTGGTGCTGCGGGGGGGAGGGAGTAACAGGGAACGGATACGGAGACCTGCTAGATCAAGAAGAAATAGATCACCATTTGCTGTTGCTGCTGCAGCAACAGCAGCATCATAAGGATGCAGCTGCAGCAAAGTTGCTGCAGCAGCAAAACCTCCTAATTCAAATGCATGCGCAGCAGCAAATACACCGCAAACTCCCGTGTCTCCTGTTACAAATCTTGTGTCTCCTAATGATGATTTAGATACTCCTCCTTCCTCAGGAGACACACTAGGGGGACGCCGGCCTCCTGCTGCTGCTGCTGCTCCTGCTCCTGCTCCTCCTGTTCCTGCTGCTGCTGCTGCTGCTGAGGGGGATGTGTGGCTACGCTCAGAGAACAAAGGCACGCTTGCTATACTTGGCATGGACTGCAACAGGCAACTGCTGCTGTCTTCTCCGGTCTGCTGCTGCTGCTGCTGCTGCCGTTGTTGCTGCTGCTGCTTTCGTTGCTGCTGCTTCTGTTGGGTGTACCTGCAACGAGGAGCAAAGACTCCCTTTAATGCAGCAGAGGCTATTGCTGCTGCTGCTTCTTCCGTTGCTGCTTCGGGGTGCAGCGCAGCAGCAGCAGCAGCAACACCAGCATTTGCTGCAAGAGCACGCACCAACCGAGCAGCAGCAGCAGCAGCAGCAGTTGGTGCTGCACTTGTTGCTGCGTTTGCTGCTCTCGAAGGTGAACCTGCAGCCTGCGTCGGCTTTCCTCCTGCGGGGCGACTGCTGCTGCTGCTGCCAGCCCCTGCTGCGGCTGCTGCTGCTGCTGTGCCCTTGTTGCCGCTCCCTCCTGTCACGCTGCGGCTGTTGGGGAGGGGAGCAGCAGCACCAGCAGCAGTATTGGATCTCGATCCTGCTGCTGCTGTTGCTGCTGTTGCTGTTGCTGCAGCAGCAGGCACTGCAAGCAGCTGCCTACATGCTGCTGCTGCTGCAGCGAATAGCTCATCCCCTTCTGCCACATTTTCTCTCACTGTTGCCTCGCTCTCTGTTGTTGCTGCTGCTGCTTCTCTGTCTGCAGCAGCAGCAGCAGAAGGGCCATCTTGTTTATCAGAAGCAGCAGCAGCAGCAGGAATATCCGGGTAGACAGAGGGGACAGGTGGGAGTGCTGCCTGTTGCGTTTGATTACAGAGAGAAAGTATCTCCTCAAGTGTCCCTCCTGCTGCGGTTGCTGCTGCTGCTGCAGTTGCTGCTGCTGCTGCTGCTGCTTCTGTATCCTCATCAAGAGGGCCGCTGCATGCACCCTCATCAGAGAGAGACAGCTGCGCCCTTATGTTTGTATTTCTCAGCATTTGTTTAATACTGCACTGTCTCCGTGCTGCTGCTGCTGCTGCTGTTGCTGTTGCTGCTGCTGCTGCTGCTGCTGCGGATGGTTCTGATAACGCCTTGCTGCTTATACCATGAGTTCTGTGGAAGCAGCACAAATCTTCGCCACCTGCCGCTGCTGCTGCTGCTGCTGCTGTTGCTGCTGTCTGCCCCCCTGCTGCTGCTGCTTCCTGAGATGCTGCTGCAGGGGTAGCAGTAGCTGCTTCATCTGCTGCCGCAGTACCTCCAGCAGCAGCAGCAGCTGTTGCTGCTGTTGCTGCTGTTGCACCCTCTCCACGCATCAACACTTCCCTCTTCCGCAGCACTTCATCTCTCTTCTGCTGCAATTGCGGCTGCTGCTGCTGCTTCTGCTGCGCCTGCTGCTGTTGTTGCTGCTGTTGTTGTTGCTTCCCTAGTTGCCGTTGCTGCACTGCCCGCTGCTGCATATCCCCTGCTGCGGGAAACCCTGCGTCTCGCTGCTGCCGCTGCTGTTCTCGTCGCAGTTGGGATTGCTGCTGCTGCTGCGTTTGCTGCTGCTGCTGCAACACTTGTTGCTGCTGCTGGTGCTGCTGTTGACGCTGCTGCGCATCCGATAGCTGCTGCCAGTGTCGCCGTGCTGCTGCTCCTTCCTCAATTGAGGAGGGGCGGGCGGCCTCTGTCTGCCTTTTTGCTGCTGTTTCTGTTGCTGCTGCTGCTGCTGCTGCTGCTGCTTCTGCTCCTGAACCTGTTGCTGCTGCAGCATTCGCGATCCCGCTGCTCCAAGACGTGTCTCCCGCCGAGTTGAGCCTCTTAGCTGATGCAGATTGTTGCTGCTGCTGTTGCTGCTGATCTTGTTGTTGTTGCTGCTGCTGCTGCTGTCTCTGCAGCTGCTCCGGGTGCCATGAGGTCTGTCGCCTAGTGCTGCCCCACTCTTTGTCACTGCTGCTGGTGCTGCTGTTGCTGTTGTTGTTGCTGCTGCTGCTGTTGCTGCTGCTGCTGCCGCCCTTATACTGAGGTGCTACGTCCTTAGAGTTAAGCCTTTGCCCCTCTCGCTCGATCCACCTCGCAGCAGCTGCTGCAGTTGCTGCTACTGCTGCTGCTGCTGATGAGCATTCCGGTTGTTTCTGCTGCTGCTGCTGTTGTTGCTGCGGCTCCTCATGGTGGGTTTCTGGGGAACGTCTCCATGGGGATCGTCTTCCCGGGGATCGTCTCCCTGGGGATCGTCTTCGCACATGCGTTCCCCAGCCTCTATCTTGGGATCGTGATCTCCGTGTATGGCGCTCTACGGATCGTCTCCCCGGGGATCGTCTCCCCGGGGATCGTCTCCCCGGGGATCGTTCTCTTGGAGACGCCCAACCTCCTCTTGAGACCTGTTGAGTGTCCCAGCGGCCATCTCGGGATCGGGATCGTCTTGGGGATCGTCTCCGCCCCGGCGATATCCTGTGGGGTCGTCTCTCTGGGGATCGTCTCCTCCCCGGTGAGATTCTGTGGGATCGTCCTGGGGATCGTCTAGGGGACGGATTGTGCCTATAAGACGGCGAGTAGCCCCTGTGTTGGGATCGTCTATCCTGGGATCGTCTCTCCTGGGATCGTCTCCGCATTTGTGGATCCCGCGGGGATCTGTGGGGTTCTTGTCTCTCAGGGGAGGGCCGTTTATACGGGGATCGTCTCCTTGGGGATCGCCTTCTTGGGGATCGGACCTCGTGGGTACGTCGGTCCCAGGATCGATCCCGCGATCGATCCCGGGATCGTCTCCTATCTGGGGATCGATCCCAATATCGATCCCGGGATCGTCTCCTTTCTGGGGATCGATCCCGAGGTCGATCCCGATCCTGGGATCGTTTTCTTTCCCCCGAACGTTGTGGGTTTGCTGCCTCCTCTTCTGTTGTTGCTGATGATGTTGTTCTTACTGCTGATGCTGCTGCTGCTGCTGCTGCTGCTGCTGTTGCTGCTGTTGCTGCTGATGCCGCTGCACCTGCTGCATGAGGGCCCCTAGGGAAATCGTCTCCTGTACCCAATACCCCCATGTGTCCCTAAGACCGTTCTATCAGCAGCAGGGGAGGCCCCTAACCTTATTAGCTGCCGCCAAGGAAGCAGAACTGCTGCTGCTGCGGCTGTTGCTGCTGCTGCTGCGTCTCCGTTGCAGCATCCGTTGCTGCGGTTCCCATGGATGACGGAGGTCGGCGAATACAAGAGGACGAGGTGCAGCAGCAGTAGCAGCAGCAGCAGCAGCAAATGAGTCTCAATGTTGAGACCCTTCCCTCGTTTTTCCTTATGGAGACTAACTGCAGCAGCAGCAAAAGTAGCAGCAGCAGCAGCAAAAGGGACGGGGGCCCCTAGCTCCCTCGGGGGACAGGTTGCTGCTGCTGCTGCTGTTGTTGTTGTTGTAGGTGCTGCCCTGTGTGTTTGCGTTAGGATGTTCGCGCTGCTGCTGCTGCTACTACTACTACTGTTGCTGCTGCTGTTTCTTTAAAATGTTGCTGCTGCTACGGGAGTGCAACTGCTGCAGCTGCTGCTGCAGCTGCTGCTGCTGCTATTACTGCAGCAGCAGAGATAATCTTATAGTAAGGGGTGTCTCTATAGATGGGGGCCCCATACAATAAAATAGAGAGAAGAAAAGAAGGAGAAGTCTATGATCTGTGGGGTCTGCTGCATAAAAGGCAGCAGCCGACGGGGGCCCCCCTCTCCCGCGTTGCTGCTGCTGCTGCTGCTGCTACTACTACAATTGCTGCTACTATTGCTGCTGCTATTGTTGCTGCTATTGCTGCTATTGTTTATTATAAAAGAACAAATAGATCTATTTTTTATAACAATAGTAATTGTAAACAATTATATTTTATTTATTCTTTGCCCCTGTGTCAGCCCCCTGGGGAAGGAGCAGCAGCAGCAGCAGCAGCAGCAGCTGCTGCTGCTGCTGCTGCGCTTGCTGCTGCAGCATGAGTGTGTTACATATATCCTTTGCTGCTGCTTTTATATAATATAATTAAAGGGAAAGAAAAGACATTTAAATATAAAAAGAATAAATAAATATAAAGGAGTTAATTGCTGCTGCTGCTGCTGCTGCTGCTGCTGCTGCTGCATGAAGGCACTCAACGGAAGCTTATCGCTAGTCCAGCTTCACAGGAGCAGCAGCAGCAGCAGCAGCAGCCGGAGCAGTAGCAGCAGCAGCAGCAGCAAAAGTATGGTATTATTTAGTCCCTTTTAATCCTTACATTGACGAAGTTAATTCATACTATTTGCAGGAGCAGCAAACTTCTTTTTGTTGCTGCTGCAGTAACCAGCAGCAGCATCGACACTTTGTTGAGCTGCTGCTGCTGCTGCTGCTGCTGCTGCGGCTGCTGCTACTGCTGCTCAGTCTGCTGCAGCACAAGAAACAACAACAATAAATATTTATTGCCTTCCTTTTCCTTCTTATTTATCCCTAACATTCTCTTGCTGCTCTGCTTCCCCTTACCTCTCCTTACTCAGCCTGCTGCTTTTGAGCTGCTGCTGCTGCTGCTGCTGCTGCTGCTGTTGCTGTTAGTAGTATTGCGTCAAGGAACCTGTCTGTCCATAGCAGCAGCAAACACACGAGTCAGCAGCAGCAGCAAAAGCAGCAGCTGCTGCAGCACAACTCTTCCTTCTCCCCTTCTTACCTCCTTCCTGCTCCGCCGCAACAACAGCAGCAACAACAACAGCAGCAGCAGCAGCAGCAAAACAGGAAAGCAGCAGCTGCAGCTGCAGCAGCAACAAAAACAGCAGCAACAGCAGCAGCACAAGGTGTTAGGTGCCAGACACCATGCTGCTGCGCTGCACATTGTGGGGTTTTGTTGCAGTGTACGTACACCTCGTTTAAATTTTCTTGTCTTTTCTCCGCATTAGCAGCAGCAAATAATAATTCTTCTTCCTTTTCTTCCTTTTTCTTCTTCTTTCTTCTTCTTTCTTCTTTCTTTGTTCTTTCTTTTTTCTTCTTCTTTTATTAGGGCTATTGAATTATCTATCTAAACCCTAAACCCTAAACCCTAAACCCTAAACCCTCGTGGTGGTATTTAGCTGCATCTGCAGCACAGCAGTGGCGACGATCTTGTTGTCTATTAACAGCAGCAAGAGGATTATTTATTACCTTTATTATTTATTTATTTATTTATTTATTTTTATTATAATAATAATAAGGGAAATAAAGATAATAAGAAAGGGATTTATTTATTTATGTACAGCTCTTGTTATAATAAATAATAATAATAAATATTAATTATTATTATTAATTATTATTATTAATTATTATTATTAATTATTATTATTATTTATCTAAGTGTCTCCTTTTGTCTCCTTTTGTCTCCTTTTATTGATTTAGGGTTTAATTGTCTCTCTTTCTTATCTATCTGTCTCCTTTCCTATCTGTATACAAATATACATAATATATATATAATTATATATATATATATATATATATATACATATACATATATATAATATAGTATATGTATATATATATTTACGTATAATAGATATAACATATAAAAACAATATAAAAGAAGAAAAAAAAAATAAATAAATAAATAAATAAAATAAAATAAATAAAATAAATAAATAAAAAAAAAAAAAAAA